GGTGAGGCACACCTGGGTTCAATCCCCAGTTCTAAAAAAGTAAATAAATACATAAATGGTTTTGAATCCTACCAATAAGTATTGATCTTTGAGTCTGCCATTCTGACTTTATTCAGAAATGTGTTTATTTTACTAAGATCTTTCCTCTATTGTTTGAGAGCAATGTTATTAATCTGTAGAAAGTGTTCTGTGAATTTAGTTTGAATTAGTAGAATGTAGAATGAGAATTTTTGGAAACTTTCTTGGGAATTTCTTTTTAACAACTAAATTCAATTTAACATTAATTTTATTAGTAATAAAAATACTGAAAATCACCTGAATATTTTGAACAATTAATAATAAATGAAATAATACCTATGCATATGGATATATATCAGAAATCAAGGTAAACTTATCTATTTACTATTATTTATTTTAGGTACTGAGCTGACTCCTGAGTCCTTGTATGGGCATGTGCCACCACACATGATAATTTTAAAAGAGATGGGAAGGAAGATTGTTGAAATTCTTCCCTGTATTCATGAGTCTATGTTATTTACCTTTCCTCCCTATATTTCTGTAGGTCTGAAATATTTCAAATAAAAGTTTTGGTTACAATGATTGCCTCCTCTTTTCTCTTTCCTTTTTTATTCTTTGATCCTTTTGCAATTGTGAGAAGGGCAAAGTCTTTGGAATAGTATAAATGGCTGTGATTTACAAGTCTTAATTCTGATTGTGTCTTTTTCCCCTTAGATTTTACTGCTATTGTTGTGGCTCTAGGTCAATAAATGTTAGCAACTTCTACCTGCATATTAGCTTTCTTTTAGGAGAAAAACTAGCTATTTGGATATGTCTAAGAATTAATCTATATAATTTCATACCATTCTCACTTTAGGGGGAACAAATAAGGCATTATATCATGAATAAGCAAATATTGTAAAAAGTATTTTCCCAGGTAGGAGTGAAAAGAGGATTAATTCCTGGAACTGGGCTGAGCTTAGGTTGGCTAATCAAGGAAAATTTGGAAAATATTTAGGGTCTAGGAAATGGAAAATACTGTGCATTTTCAGTGTGTGAGTCAAAATACTACTCATTTGTCAGTTATAATCTCACTATGTAATAATAAATCGTGTGTTAGTACAAATTATTAACAAGTTGGTGTTTGTTACTTTCTCAGAGAATTAGGAAAACCACTAATTTGTTTTTTAATTACATTTCCATTATAGGTTGCTATTAAACAGATTAATTTACAGAGACAACCACAGAAGGAACTGATCCTTAATGAGCTCTTGATGATGAAAGAATTAAAGTATCCCAACATAATTCACTTCTTAGGTAAATATGTTTGAGGTTATTTTAATCACTGGGATAAAAACTTGGAAATTTATAGTTTGATGGAGGCTAGCCACTTTGAAATGTCAATACTGAGAAGGTCCTTTTGCTACAAGGATATTACTTGGTTAGTGAGAGAAGTCAGCTTAATGAAGGACATTGCTGATATTGTGTCTATTCATGCAAATGATCATATGCAGAAACATTAAGGAATGTGATGTTGGACCTCAGTTTTCTTTCTACCTCCTCAAACTTCCTTGGTGTTATTTATTGGTCAAGAATTTATAATCAGAACTTGACAAAATCTACCCTCTGCCATTATTCTACAATCACTCTGCTTCTGAGTTAGAGAGCCGAAAGTATTAGCTGAAGAGTGTAGTCTTTTATTAGTCAGCTATATGGTTTCTTGTTTGGGGTATAAATAAGAATGTACTCATCTTTCTACATAGTTGAATTACCCTAGTTAGATGCCTTTTTCAGCTCAGTTAAAGTACTTTTCCTACACATTGAATACCGTGGTTATAGAAATCAGGTTATCAACTTTGAAGTTCAGTCTCTGAACCCAAGGTCCAGAAAAGAAGAAAGCAAGGTCACATCTCTGAGAAAGGTATATATGTATACCTGATAGTGTTCAAACTTTTTAAAAGTAAATATTCTTGCATTTGAGGTGAAGAAATTAAACCATCCTCCCATCTCCTTTTAAATTATCATATGTGGCACAACACCATTAGTAATTAAGGAAATACAAATCAAAACCAGAGAATACCTCTTGCCACATAATTTCAGACAATATTCAGTGCTGGTGAGAATTGTACCTTAAACCCTGAAATAGAAGGGAGGTGGAAGTGAAAACAAATAGAGTGATTATTATACATATATGAACATATATTTTTATGATTATTATTGTTTGGCATTTTTAATAATGTAATGTTTTTCTTGAATAGCTGTCAATTGAGAGAAAGCAGAGCTGAATTCTATGGGGAATTTAAAATGCTCCACATGCATTATCAACAATGTTTGATAAACTTTTCTTATAAAAAAGAGAATGTCCATGTCTGTCAACAATTATTATATGCCAAAAAAAGTCTTAATGTAAAGTAATATACACCTTGTCATTGACTGGGTGATGGGAGGTGGGTGTCAATCTCAGTTAATCAGCTACAGTTATCTTTTGATTGTTTTCATTTACCAGATTGTCCATTTTCTAGATACTTGGCTTCAAACTGGCATTTTTCCATGAAAAAGCCTAAGAAAATGATGCACATAATAGATTTTAAAAAGTAACAAAGGATCTGAATGTGATGGTGGATAGCTGTGATCCTACCTACTTTGGGAGGCTGAGGCAGGAGGATTAAAAGTTCAAAGCCAGCCTTAGCCAAAGTGAGGGCTAAGCAGTCAGTGTGACCCTGGCTCTAAATAAAATACAAAATAGGTTTGGGGATGTGGCTCAGTGGTAGAGTGCCCCTGAGTTAAATCCCTAGTACCCTCCTCCCCACAAACATTAAATAAATAAATAAATAAATAAATAAATAAATAAATAAATAAATAAATAAAATGGTTGGGAATGTAGTTCAGTGGTAGAACACACTGACTTCAATTCCCACTCCTGGGATAAAAATGCAGAGAGAGTTAAGTATACCTCATTAAAAGATAGAGTTTAGGAAAAGCTCAACGTTAACATAAAATGATTATCAAAGCAGTTTGAGCAAATTGGGGAGAAGCAACTAGACTGATTCTCTGAGGTCCCACATAAGTGGTCCCAATTTTTAAAAACAAAAGGCAGGTGATATACATATGTAGACTTTGCTGGGCTACTCAGAAATGTGAGTGTCATGCTTCCTAGTATGGCCTCCAATCTCAACATGAGGATGTATTGGGTATACAAAAGCAGCTATCAGGAAGTTGTTTTGAATTTCAAATAGGGTAGAATGAGGTAGAATGCAATGGAAGAAAGCTTGTGTTTTATAAATATTTTTCTTAAAATTCTTAGCAATTTGTTACTGATTTTTATTAATTATACTTTTGATGAACTTAATGAGCTTTGGGGAATTTCTTAAAAATAAACAAGCTATAATCTCTTTGTTAGTGTCCTAGGATAACAAGCATTAACTTGAAGGTAAGGGGCCATTGCAGTCTATCATTGCAGTGATCCATGAATTGAAGACTCCCTAAGTACATGTTGATACATTATTGCAGCAGTGATCCATTAATGAAATATGTTTTGGATCCAGGTTATTACAAGTTTAATAGGAGAAATGCACCAATTCCACTGGGAAAAAAAAGCTAGTCTTGACTCCATGTTTCATTTCTTCCATAAGCACATTTCTCGTGTCTCCCAGTAATGAATATTTTTTCTGAGCCTTCCCTGTTTATTATTATGTGACTCTGTCAACATTCAAAGCTCCACTTATATTGACTATATTTGAAATTCTTTGAGTGTTACAGAAGAGACTTATAAAATAATTACACAATAATATGTATTCACATGAATATACTTCTTTTGTGAATAAAAGAAAAGTGCTATTTTATCCTCTTTAAGAGATAAGCATAATAACTATCGAATAGACTTAAATGAAAGAAAATTAAAATTTTATTTGGATCATTATTCAGTCCATCCTTCATTATAAAACATTCATGAAGTTATTGTCTTGGCAGAGTGAGCTCAAGAAATTTGATAATGTTCTCTGGTTCTTAGATTTCACTCCTTTTTTTCAGTCTTTTTTTTATATGTACTACATGTTTCATAGTACACATTATATAAGAAAATTGTAATAGAGTTGCAATATGAGTTAGACCTACAGATATTCTTTACTTTGCTGAACACATAGCACCCCAAGTAATAGGATGGGATATTCCTTTGAAGTGGGAGATGAGTTGAGAACAGGAGCAAATGAGAAGAAATTTAGAAAAAAATTAAAATGTTCTAAATGATCTCACTTTGATCAGTAAACCAAGAATTGAGTTATTTTGGCATGAGGGTGCCTGTAGAGGCAGGAACTGAAGAAAAACAATTTAGACTTTCCATTGTTAGGGGCTGCATGGTCTTTTCCTACCAGGATGTTGATTCTCCAGTGATTCCCTAAGACAGTCATCACCCACAAGTGTCTGCTCTTCTCCCATGCCGTCATTTTCTAATCCTTGAGTCCTTGAAAGCAAAACAAAACAAAAAATGAAATGAGCCAAAAGACAAAACAAAACCTTTCTCCTTCCAATGTTAAAACAAATTTTATTTCCCCATATGTTTTCCTTTGAACCATTTTTGAGCCTATTTTTTTAAAGACAGAATCAAAATTTTAAGGACATTTTGTGAGTGTTCAGGTGTAGGATGTACTAGGGATACAAGGGCCACTCGGTCAACCTATGGATGCCAGAGATGATCCTGTGATTGTGGATGATCAGATAGGTCAGCCTTGCCCGCCTCCTCAATGTTCAATGTTGAGAGAGCTAAAAGAGTCAGGACTGGGGAGTGCATGTGAGCAGGTAGACTAGAAGCACATTATGAAGCAAAGGTATCACTACTGCTGGACCCACAGACTCAAGCTGTCATCAGTGGTGGTGTTACTGGTAGCTGATAAGGAAGCCTGTCTATATATAAGTTGGCTGGATTCAACCACCCACCAATATAAGAAAAGAATAAATGATGAAAAAAATGAATTCTATGCAGTTTGAGTAAACTGTGGAGAAGCAACTAGACTGATTCTCTGAGGTCTTACATAAGTGGTCCCAATTTTTTAGAAACAAAATCCAGGTGATATACATATATAGACTTTGCTGGGCTAATCAGAAATGTCAGTCTCAGGCTTCCTAGCATGGCCTCCATTCTCAATATGAGGATGTTTAGGGTGTACAAAAGCAGCTATCAGGAAGTTGCTTTCAATTTCAAATGGTGTGTTTCAGGGGCCATAAACTCCCACAGGTAAGGATGGGAGACAGGTAGGTGGAAGCTGGAGCAGGGAACTAGTTCGAAAAAGAAGAGGGGCAGAGCTGGTTAAAAACAAAAAATAAAGTGAAACAAATAAAAAAGCATCATTTAAATGCTAACTACTTTCCAGGGAATGCACAATGTGCTTCTACATACATTATCTCCATCATTTCTCACAACAGCCCGGAAAGGTGTACACATGAGTGTCTTGGGTAGAAAATTGTCAATTTAGATAGCTTTAGTAACTGAAGCTTCACAATTCAGTGGGTATCTGAGACAAATGTGAGCACAGTTAATTGAGGATTGTCCCAGAAAAATCTTAGCAGTGTTCATAATAGAAGATAGATAATCACTGTAGAAGAGGACAGAACACATACAGGAAAAAGTAGAAGAATCCCAGATTTATAAAATTTCATACCATCATTAAAAATTTACAAATTAGGATAGATCTTTAAATAGACCAAGTTACCCATTCCTATGGGTTTAAGTATGTATTCAAACTATTAAAACTTATTAATTTTAGATTGATTTCCTAAGAAGGTCTCAATTTTCCCTTGATTAAATTTTAGATAGGATTTTTCCTAATTGTAGGTGCTTTACATCTTCTTTCTTAGAGAACTTACTTTAAAAAACTTTAAATATTACAAAGTTTGTGCTCTGTCTCTTTGAGATATAAATCTCCTCTTGTCAAGGGCCAGTTTCTATAACCCAAGAGAATCTTTCTCGAGGACCTGGGAGCCATCACTTGGAAATGTAAACATAAGGAAGTTAGAGGCCCTATATCCAGTCCCTGTGGGAGGGTGGGAGCATAACTATGTGCCAATTGGTTGACCCAACGTATCCCTTAAAATTCTGCAGTATTTTTTCACTAGCTCATCCCTGAGCTTAAAAACTCTTCAACTTTATTTTAATGGATTTGGGTTCTATCTCTCCCTGTATTGTAAGTTTTCCTTGCCTATTTAACTCCATTGGATGCAATCTTTCTTTGACATTACAAACTCTAGGTAAGTTTCTATTTGTAAGATAGAATATGCAGCATTTTCACTTATATTTGAATATATGGAAAATGCTGCATATTCTAAGTGTCAAAAATTGGTCACCATTCTGCACTAATTTGGAGATAATCTCTAGAGATAAAGAGATGGTTCAAATAATCTTTGAGATCAGAAAATCTTTTATTTTTTTTTGTTATTGGTGCATTATAGTTTTAGATAATGGTATACATATTAGTACATGCACATAATATAATAATACAATTTGTCCAATATCCATCCCCAGGAGATCAGTAAGTTTTTGAAATTTAACTTTACACGAGGCAAAGAGGCAAAAAGCAAGTACCATTCTCTGTGCAAAGAAACACTAGTTTAGATGGATGTGAAATATATTTTAGAGAGGAAAACACCATTAGAAATTTGAGACTATTCACATAACATAATCTAGTAGACATGTTATGAACTCCACCCTGAACTAATGCAGAAATATATTTTGTAATTTTGACTTCTGTCTCTTGATACAAAGTTGATGCAACAATTTCAAAGTTCTCTTCTGTAAAAATGATAAAGGACAAGGTAGCTAATATCTGTTTCTCTGACAGTCTTATTCAAATTGAAATTTAGTCTACCTAGAAAAATAAATTAGATACAAATCCTTTAGGATATGTTTTCTACAAGTTGATTTTTTCTGACAATAAAGACTGTAAAGCATGGGTATATTTTGGGGGAAAATTTCTATTACTAACAGATTTAAGATATTTTATGTACTGGTAAAGCACAATAATTAATATAAGTATGTGAACATGAAATATATAAAAACATATTTAAACACTTACCAAAACCTATCATATGTTGGAAACTATTCTAAGTACTTAACAAATATTTCACAGTTGGCCCAATGAGGTCCAATTATTATCTGTATTTTATGGGAGAAGAAACTGAGGCAGAGTGACATTAAGCAACTTACCCCAGGCCACTGTCAATATAGAAGCAGTAATTCAGTACATATGATCAGATTCCAAAGTCAGATAATTATTCTGCCTTTTATTTTATTTTATTTTAGTAGATGGACATTATACCTTTATTTATTTATTTTATGTGGTGCTGAGGATCCAGCCCAGTGCCTCACAAATGCTAGGAAAGTACTTTACCACTGAACTACAACCATTTTTCTGCTTTTCTAATGCTTACATAAACAGCCCTTTAAACAGTTTAGTCTCTTTGGGAGCGGAAGACTCCAAAGATTAGGAAATTAATTTGGGAGTGACCCTGCAATGAGAATACTCCTGCAATAGTAAACCATGTGTAAATTCAAGGAGGTTGAGACAAGGAAAAGTTTCCAAGAAAGATTGAGGAGATTACATAAATTATTTTGAAACAATAATCTGGCTGCAAGGAACAATAACAAGGGTAGTGTCAGCGTAAACAGATGATGATGTCTATGCAAAAAACCCATTTGTATGTACAGGTGTGACACTCTTATAAGGTGGGATTGAACCCAGGACCTTTTGCATGCTCAGGAAGCACTCTACCAACTGAACTACACCCAGAGCCCTCTGGTAGAGTCTTTTGTGATACATTTTGCTTCTGGCATTCATGCATGGCAGCCCTTCCTTCATATCCTTCAGGCTTTACTTATTATCATTTTCTTTGTTAGGGTGTGACATAAGTGACACCACTTGGATTCTGACAAAATACACAATCCATAATGTTCTCCCAAAGTATTTTCTACAGTAATCATTATATATATATATATATATATATAATATAACATACCAAAGTCTTTTGAAGCAATTCTTTGTAAAATCAAAACCATTTAGAAGAAGCATAAGAATGCACGAGGGGTGGCGCTCTACTGCTGCTGTCATGTACCCAGATAGAGCTGAAGCAAGACCAAGTGCAAAGGGTGGGTTCTTGAAAAGAGAAAGGGGTGTGTGTGTGTGTTGGGGGGGTGAACAGTCACTGCACACAGAAAATTGTATATCATTGGTTATTATTCCAGTTACCAATTTTTTTGCCATTGATCTCCAAATCCCCGCTTCAGTATATGCTGTGTGACCACAGGATTCCTTTAAGCATTTCTCTTTTAAAGTGAGCTCAATGTTAAGCTTTCCCAGTAGAGGGCGCTCTTGGAGTGTTGGACAAGTAGAAGGGCCCCTTCCGCAGTTTCTGGTTGTTGAAAAGTGGTTAGAGAGGCGGAAGGTGGATCCTCACCTCATTCCAGGCCTGGAGTACATAGCTTCACCCAGACTTGCAATCTCAGATGTTCTCCTTCTCCTTTGTTTCTGACTTTTTTTTTTTTTTTTTTTGGTAGTAGTACTGGGGATTGAACCCACAGGTGCTCTACTATTGAGCTATATCCCCAGCACATACATACATACATACATATATTTATTTATTTATTTATTTGTTTGTTTATTGGTACTGGGGATTGAACTCAGGGGCACTCTACAACTGAGCCACATCCCCAGTCCTATTTAATATCTTAGAGACAGGGTCTCACTTGAGTTGCTTAGCCCCTCTTCTATTGCTGAGGCTGGCTTTGATCTCTGATCCTCCTGTTTCAGCCTCCAGAGCAGCTGGGATTACAGGCAAGCCCAGGCATGCGACACTGCACTGTGCTAGCACTTTTTATTCAGAGACAGGGTCTCACTAAGTTGTCAAACTTGTGATCCTTCTGCCTCATCTTCCCAAGTCTCTGGGATTGCAAGCCTGCACCACAAACCCGGGCCCAAGCCGCCGGGAAGGGAAACTCCCCACACGCCACACAGAAAAAGTGACTGAAGACATTCTGCTAGCACAAAACCCCTGATTTCCTCTATAGGATCAGTGTTGCTCCTTTGAGACCCATAACTTCCTACCCTGCTTCTGTTCCTTCTGCAGGTCCAAAGTCTATGATTTGGGGCCTGCAGGATTCCCAACCTTCTGCATGGCCAGTGCTGATTACTGGTGGTCTGCTCCCCACCCCACTCTGGTGAGCTGCTGGGTGCTTTTTACAGAGTAAGGGCCAACCATGGGGATGAAGGGACCACGGAAGTCCTTGGTTACTGGTTCTTGTGATCACACAGGAAAAATTTCAGGTGCTTGTACATTATAGCATATGCTCACAAATGAATTTATTAGAAGGGATAAGACACACCGTGTAAGGGATGGATTTATTAGAAAGCTCAGGAAAAAAGGGATAAGGGGGAACAGTCCTGAGGAACAGAATGGGTCCTCTCAGAGAGAATA